CTGATGCCTACCTTTCTGTCCCCTGAAATACCTCATATAATAATTCATCATGGAAGGCAACCCCAAACTACCTTGAACATTCACCTGAATATATTTTTTTGTCTAGAACTGTCCAAAAATATGAAAAAGAACAAAATCATGAAAAAGAACAAAATCATGAAAAAGAACAAAAATCATGAAAAAGAACAAAATCATGAAAAAGAACAAAATCATGAAAAAGAACAAAATCATTTCATGGAGTGAGATAAGAAATATTTTTATACATTTTACCCCTGAGGGACTAAAACCTGATTTGGAAAATATACCATCTAACCCAGAACACAGTGTTCCCAAACGATTTTGGAAGCTTGGCACATCTGCCTTCTTAAATGCCTCCTGCCACATCATGGAACGCTCAACTGAGAAGCCACAATGGGAAGGCCCGTGAATCACTCAAGGTATTTAAAAGATGAAAATTAATTCAGCACAGCAAACCAGCTGAAAACCGGGCCTTTTCTATAGCCTGGATTTTTTAAGCAAAAGGGGGAAATATTATTTATGGTTGAAATGACCAAAAGTCATTTGAGATAAAATGAACATCCAGAAGAGGTTTCTAAAAGTGTGAAAAATACAAGCTTATCCAAAGCTCTAACACTCTTAAGCTAGCTAGAGTCAGAAATAAGAGGTGCTGCCAGTTGTGTTGACATAATAAGGTTTATGCCTTGGCTTTCACCCTCAACTGTTCAGCTTGCAAAAGCATTCTACTCTGCTCGCCTCAAGACTGGAAACGCATCTACTTAAGACAGCAAAGGACTCAAACTCTAGGCAACGTTGCTATGGTCCGAATATGTACCCTGAATTGCATGTGTTGGAAACTGAATTCCCAAATTCATATGTTGATTGGTGGTGGGGCCTTTGGGAGGCAATCAGGCATAGATAAGGTCATTAGTGTGACTGGGTCCCCAGTACAGGGTACAGGCGGTTATTTATGGTACAGGTGGCTATTCATGAGATGAAAAAGAGAAACCTAAGCTGACAGGCATTCTCTTGCTCTCCCTCCATGTGTTGCCTTCTGCCATGTCATTACACAGCAAGAAAGCCCTCACCAGATACTGGTGCCATGCTTTTGTACTTCCCAGTCAGCAGAGTCATAACCTACATCAATTTCCCTTCATGATACATTACCCAGTCTCAGATATTCTATTATAGTAACAGAAAACAGACTGAGACAAACATGGATCAATCTTCAATTCAAGGAAAAGGGCAAAGGCAACAGAAACCAAAATGGCCCCTTTCATCAGCATATGCCCTTCCAACTTCTAGCCCCACAGACTCAAACATAAAGAGTGTAGAAGACTGAATTATTGGCCCTGATTCTTCATCCCTCCTTGGAGACTAGAATATAAATAAGAATCACCCTATCCAAGAGTTCTACACAATTATTGTATACAAGTTGTGCTGACTTCTATTTCTACAGGTATGCTGAGGTAGTACACATCAGAGACCAGGCACTAATGACAATGGCCCAATTCCTTCCATCCAACAGGCAAAAGGTGACATTTAGGGAGTCTCTGACTATGTGCCACATACTGTGTAAAGAGGTTAACATACACACACAGTGAAGGCCTGGCTCCTGCTTTCCTGGAGTTCTAAGTCTAAATGCAAACTTGAGTAATGCAAGAAAACAAGAGGCACAGAATAACAGAGACTAGGATACATTTTGTTGAGAGTACAAAGAAAGGACTTTCTACAGCTCACTTGAGCTAAATGTCAATTGCTTATATGAACAGAAAGATTTCCTAAAATACAATTTTCCATTTGTGAATCTCAAGATACTACTATATGGATCCAGTTGAGCTAGATGAAACTGGATATACTAAAACTCCATGGAAAAACAATGGCCACTGTGTCCAAAGACCTGGGTTCAAATCCCAGTATGGCTACCTGAGTGGAGAAAGTACCATAAATAAGACCTATGCAGTAGACCCACAGAATTCCAATGTGCCATATCTAGTAACTTTGGTCATTCCATCACGAGGCAACAGGATCAGTTAAGTTAAAAAAGAGGCAGCCAACACCAAACTCAGACATTGACTAAGTTGTAGCATAAAAATGGCTTATTCAATACATCAGGGTTGCCTTGGGATATGTAGATGACCCCCATTTTTATTGAATTAGTCATTACTTATTTACTAAGCTCATTTGCTCTAGTCTAGGCACTGAATATACAAAGATGATGATAAACCAACTTTTGCCATTGGGTCGAGAAAGTCTTAACTAGAACCTGAGTCAAAAATATAGGCAATTTATAATTAAGAGAAAAGTAAACCTTTATTATCACACCACCGTACTGATAATGACAATCACTAATATAATAATAATCACTGATATTTATTAGGCTGTCATTATATACCAGAGACTGCTCTAAGAGCTCCTTGAAGATGCTCTCATTTAAGCCTCACAATAGGTCGATGCCAAAGCACTATGGCCACCCCCACTTTATAGATGAGGGGCGATGTGACTGCCTAGATATAGCTGAGCTAGGAGTTGAACTCAAGAAGCTGGCTCTGGCGCTCATGGTCTTCATGATGCGCTAACAGAACATCAGGTCCATTTTCCAGTATCTAGACTTTTGGTTTTCTTTCTGCATCATTCTGCCTTTGAACACTAGTGATAAACCTAATTCTGAAATAGCTCTTTAATGAGATTCATCTCATTTCATATTTGGCACCCTCAATTTTGTGAAGTCCCAAATGAAACGTGGGTTACACATTGGTAGCACCTGTACCCAAGAAGCTTCCAAATGATGCATCTTTCAAAAGTTTTCATGGAGCAAACATGAAACACCAAGGGATAAACAAAGAGATAATACATGGTCTGATCCATGGTTTTTTATGTATCTGAGCCTTTGTGACGACCTGGGGCCACTGAGAAACTGTATCTCTGATCACACCCCAACTAGACTCGAAGTTCTTACTTTCAAATGCCAAGATGTAGCTCCTTCTTTCAGGATCAGGGTCAAGGCTCTCTTTAACCTTTCTAAACTCCTATGACAACAGTAATTTTGCAGACGCTTTTCCTCCCTCCCTCCCTCCCTTCCTTCCTTCTTTCCTTCCCTCCCTCCCTTCCTTTTTTCCTTGAATAGCCACTTGTTTTCTCAAAGGACAGATGACACAGGAGGAGAAGAGCCATAATGTACTGTATATAAGACTGACCATGCAAAAAAGTTACTAACTAACCAGAGGGGGCTATTCCAAAAGAAAGGGAAATAGAAGGTTATCCTGCTCTGGGTTAGGCTGTGCATCTTCTTTTATTTTTATAAACAGCATTCTAACTTGAAAAGGTGGCCCTAAGGCCCCAAAGCACTGTCTACAATCCAAAGATATTTGTGTCACGATTTAGTCATAAAACACACATACCCCTGTGATGAGTATTTACTTAACACACAGCAAATCAACCGGCAAAAATACACTTTGTACGTATGTACCATGGCACTGCACATTAGCAGCTCACAAAATATTTGCTCTTACTTTTTTTCTTTTCTTTTAACAGTTAGTATTTGTGTTCATTATACACACACACACTATCTAAAACATACATAATAAACCCTAATTTCACCATTACAGGTGAAAAATGCAATGTTTCACTTGGACTGATCGCGATCATTTGAAACACTAACATTGTGTTTTACTGAAAAGATGAAATAAAAAGAAATAAAAATGTTTTTTAAAAAACCACTTATTTTATTCCACTCACTAGTCTATGTGGTGTTTATCACCTGAAACTCTGAAGTGTGACTGTGAAGGTTTCATTTCATTAGGGTCCACAAACAGCTGTGAGGCAATTCCAAAAGAGGGATACCCAAGAGGACTCCAGTATATGAGTATACTGAGGCCCTGAAACAGGCTGACATAGGTGCAGAGATCCCAAGGTGACCATTTTGAAGGCTGACATAGGTTTGGCTTCTAGAATGTAGTTGAAAAATGCAATCTCACTGCTTTTGAGTCACGGCTAACACATTCTTTTGGGCATAGTTGATTTTAAACATCTATCCTTAGCAATTCGTCAAGGGCCACTATCATCCTTCATCCTCACTTTAAAATTCAAAAGTCTTCAAAACCAACTCTGAGAGAAAATGGAACGTACCTTCTCAATATGTCAGAAAAGCCTAATTCAGTTCACGTTGCGTGCCAAGCACTAAAATGTGTTCTGTGGAAAAACCCAGCAGAAAGTCACACCAGGACACTGTGCAAATGAGTGCTAAGTGTCAGAGCAGAGGGCCTGACAGTCTTCCTGGAGGGAGGGAGCTAGGGGCACATTTCAAGTAGCTAGAGAGAAGGACACATTTTCAGCTTTCGACTCTCCCTTCCACAGCGCCTCACTGACACTTTCAACTCTCCCCTCCACAGTCCCTCACTGACACAACTCTCCCCTCCACAGCCCCTCACTGACACCACTGACAGTGTTTTAAAAGGCTATGGAGAGAAATGTCTAAATACTCATCACCACATAAATCGCAGACCTAATCAATTATGAAAAAGCTTAATGCTTACATTATGCTTAAAAAGACCGAAGAAGAAAAATGCACTGGTCGACAAAATACATTCATAAGTGCAAAAAGCCAGGCATTCATAAAAATCTAATTTGAGTACTTTTTTCCCCCTGTTTTAACTTTTTATTGTGGTAACTTTCCTTTTTCTTTTTTCTCGAGTGGAGGGTCTCACTCTGTCATCCAGGCTGGAGTACAGTGGCATGATCACAGCTCACCAGAACTTCAAACTGCTAGACTCAGGAGATCCTTCTGCCTCAGCCTCCCAAGCAGTTGGGATTACAGGCATGTGCCACCATACCTGGCTCTTTTTTTTTTTTTTTTTTTTGGTAGAGATGGGGGTCTCGCTATGTTGCCCAGGCTGGTCTCAAACTCCTGGGCTCAAGTAATCCTCCCACCTCGGCCTCCCAAAGTGCTGGGATCATAGGTGTGAGCCACCACATCCAGCCCTTTCAGTTAATTTAAACTTTCACTACACAGAACTTGCTGTGCTTAGAAGCAGCAGCAGAAAGGCTGCCGTGACCAGGGAGAAGCCATGCAGCTCAGGGGATGGCACTGAACACAGGGAGTGGGACTTGGCTAGAAGATATACAAGGAGTCGTTGATGCAGATTAAAACACTAATGGGTGACACTGTCCATAGTGATGGGATATGAATTCTCTAAATGGGTAAAAAGAAACAGAGAGCCGCAAATTCAGTGACATTACTAAACATAGCTATGCTTCCAGTAATGTGCAGGGCCAGACATTTATGGGATGAAATGGACCCATCTCAGACTCCCGACTGCCATGTCTATTGGCCGCAAGCTGATGAAATCCATCATTTAAAGGACCAGGCTTTGAAAGGTCACTGCAAAAAAACTCTTCTTTCTTTTTAAATAAGTTAATTTCTTCACTACTTTTCTTTTCCTTCTCTTTTACTCTTTGTAATGTATCTGCCTTATAGGCTAAAAAATGTTACTTCCTCTATTCTGTCTGTTATAAATGTATCGCATTAACACAGCTCTGGGGTCCACGAGGGCAGTTGCTGGGTACTTTAAAGAAATAAGCTTCTGTGACTGCTTGTTTACACTGAATTCAGATACAACAAAGTCCTGTGATCAGTATGATAGAGAAAATGAGATAAAAAGTAGCTGACTTTCAGGATCCTATCCTTTTCTGTCACAATTTTAACACCTCTGACAAACCCAAAGATGTGACAAATACAGACGAAAGTACCAGAAGACAGTTCTCAGGTAGACTTGTGAAAATCCTACACTTCTGAATATATTCTACAAGGAATACCATTTTCTCACTTTCAAATATTACTTGAAGAAGGCTAATAGAATATTCCCCAGTAAAGGGCAAAAGAGAAAAGTCTTTAATGAACAGAAGCTAGTATTTTCAACTTCTAACTTTCCATTAGCTTGAGCATAAATAAATTTTTCTAAGGACTTTAAAATCATTGATTCTCTTAACTGGATTATATCCTGCTCCCGACAATTATATTTCTTTTATTTTCTTGCTTAACAAAGTCCAATACGTCTAGACAGCATAGAAAAACAGTTCACCTAAGCACGGGCAGCATAATTTCTAGACAGATATTTTACTGTTAGCACCAAAGACCTATTTAAATATTACAAAAAAATAAAAAAGGACAAAATTATGGACTGTACGGCAAGTTGAATGGATTTAGAATCTATAATGTTCAGTGTGATCTATCACAGAAACAAAGAACTGAGTACCACATGTTCTCACTCATAATACCATAAGAAAGAGATTGGCAGTAGCGGGAAACTGCCAGGGGAGGGAAGGGTGGGGCCCATAATATCAGTGAGGGTACCTGATCCCAAACCAGGCACAGTAAGGAACAAAGGGAAGCCCGAACTCTACCTGTATGATGACCACTTATTACCTAATCCCGATTGTACCCCACATATTTAAAATAAAAATGAATTCTTTTTAACAATAATCAATTTTTTAAAAAACGCTTCCCAAAACAAACAACTTAGGTGTGATCCAAAATGAAACCAACCTAAAATGTGGTTGAAGAATCTAACAATATTGTCCACAGAAATGGCCCAATTTTACCCCCAAGAGGCTCTTGCTCCTCTCTGCACGTCAGTAGACATTTTGGGTCAGTCTAGAGATTTTTTTCCACCCGTGGCTGAAGCCAGTGCACGCCTGGGCCTGGCGAGGCCACA